GCTCTGGCATTCGACCCTCTTCAGCGTCTGGGCGTAAGAGAGCTGCCGGTATGTGTCTTTCTTGCGCTTGTACCCGATAACTCGAAGGAGCAGTCGGTGGTGATCGACCGCAGCGACTGATAGTGGCCGCTGAGTGGTGACCATGTCATGCAGCCGTACAGCAGTGCCTCCATCGCCTCCGCCTGGAGCAGGTGGATCTTGAGTCGGAATGGCGCTTGCGGTCTGTCGAAGAGCTCCCGGCCATATCGCCTGAGGCACGCCCACGCTCCTCTGCTCCTGTAGTTGATCTCCCGGGTGAGGTCGCCATGTTCGTTGACGAGGCCACCGAGGTACCGGAACTCGGTCGTCTGGGCGTATTTCTGTCCCGCGGCTTCGATGGTCAGTGGTGGAGGCGGGGCGGGCTGTGATGTTGTAGTCGGCTTGTCCTTTGCGCGCATCAGGAGCGTCTCCGTCTTCTTCTCCGACACCGTTAGCCCGAACTCCCCGAACACCTCAACGATGATGGTCATCATTCTCGCCAGTCCTTCTGCAGACCTCGATACGACGCCGGCATCATCGGCATACAGCATCCCCCATACTGCCCTCCGTACTCGGTCAAGGGGTGTCTCCTCCACCCCCCCGCTTCCGCCTTCCCCTCCTCCAAGCACACCAGGCTGCGCAGGACAACATCATCCTCGCTGAATCGGATGATAACGACCTCGAGGACCTCGGTGAAGAAGATGTTGAACAGCAGTGGGGATAGCACACATCCTTGTCGCACGCGCTGTGTCACGAAGAGCCAGTCCGACAGTTCTCCGTCGTCCATGCGCACCCGGGCCCGCATTCCATCGTGGAATTGGCGGATGACTTCGATCAGCTTCGCGGGAATCCCGGCCCTGGCCAGCACCTTCCATAGCATCTCTCGGTCCACCGAATCATACGCCTTGTTCAAGTCGACGAAGCACATGTAGAGCGGTATTTTCTTTCTCCGCCCCAGCTCCTGGAGGCGGCGCACGACGAACAGCATGTCGACGGTGGATCGCCCGGGTCGAAATCCGCACTGTTCCTCCGGGAGGATGTTGTTGGCTTCGCCGAAGGCGCTTAGACGGTTGGTGATGATCTTGATGGGGACCTTGCCTACGTGAGATAGTAGCGAAATCCTCCTGTAGTTGTTACAGTTGGACCGGTCACCCTTGTTGTACAGCACCGTGATGGTTGCATCCTTCCACTCTAGCGGAAAATCTCCTCCGTTCCACACCTTGACGAGGATGGTATGGAGGTGTCCCAGGACGAAGGGTTCGTCGTCATCGATCTTGAGCAACTCGGCAGGGAGGGAGTCATGGCCGGGTGCCTTCCAGTTCTTGAGGCCTTTCGTTGCCCGTGCCACCTCCTCGAGTTTTGGCACATCTCCCAACCGTTGAGTGTCACGTGTCGCTTGCCGCTGTGTCACTCGTTCGATGATGTCTGGGTTCAGGGTGGGGGATTTGGTGTTGAGTAGGGTGCTGAAGAATCTCGCCCACCGCTGGAGGATGTCGTCCCTGTTCCGGAGCAACACGCCGTCCTTGTTCGTGATGAACTGCTGTCCCCCCGCTTGTCTCCCGCTGAGGCCCACTGATCTCTTGAGGCGTTGGTACAGTCCTCGCATGTCGCGATCTTTGTAGATTTCTTCGAGCTCAGTCACATATGCGTCCAGGTGGGCATGAATGACCGTTTCGACTGCTGTAGCCACTCCCTGACACGCTGCTTTGAGAACCCTCCACGTCGCTGAGTTCCAGTTGCCCCTCATCGCCCGGCGCGCTTCCCGACGTTTGGTAAGGGCCTGCTCCAGCGCTGCTCGCGTCTCTGGGGTCTCACACCACTCCTGCGTGCGGCGTCTCCGCGGTTCCTCCCCCAGGGTCGTCCGCGCTGCGTCGAGGAGAGCATTGGTAAAGTCGGTCGCCAATTCCGCCGCGGTGGTTGTTCGCTCGTCAAGTCGTGTGTCGAGGTTGAGGAGGAGTCGATTAGTCACCGCACACCGTGCTGCTTCGAACTGCAATTCCTGTCGGTTGAATTGCTTCTGTTTCGGTTTAGTCCGAACTGCACGGTTGTGGGCAAGCCTGCCACCGAGGTTGACGGTGGCTACTACCATATTGTGGTCTGAGTCTGCTTTGACCGGGCGAACCGGCTGGGGGATGACGACCACGTTAGATACTCGGCCGTGATGTGCCTGCCTTGTCAGGATGTAGTCAAGGCGCTTGCAATCGTTTCCCGACACACCGTTGTATGTGTGCCATATTCCGCCCTTGCGTGTCTCAAAGAACGTGTTCGTGAGAGCTAGCCTGTTTTCC